TTTGTTTTTTCTTTGGAGCCTTTTTTTTTTTTTTTTTTTCCCCTCCCTTTAGAGGAGCATCCTTTAAATCCTCCATTCTCCCCCTCCCGCCCTAACAGCGGGGAAATTTGGGGTGGAAGAGGCGTGACGTGGCAGCCAGCGCTGGGAAATAAGACATCCGAGAGTCTCTGCGCCAAAAAAAAATTTAAAAAAATTAAAAAAAAATGATAATTTAACCTTTTTTTGCTGGAAAATCGTTATGTAAGATGGGGAACCCCAAAGGCGGGTGAGCTCAGCGTGGCGGCCGCTGTCGCCCGACAGACATCACCCCACCAGGCTGTATCAAAACCAGAGTTTAATGCGCTCGAGCGACCGCTGGCAACATGGAATTGGATCAAACTGGATCCCCGGAGAGCAACCGGGCAGGTCCCGGCGGCAGTCGAGGGGTCAGGCAGAGCCCAGCGAGTCCCGGGAGGCTTTTCCCATCAAATCCACTCCAGGTTTCGCTTCTGAGCAAGGGGGGAGAAGGAAAAGGAGGAACTTATTAACTGAGTGATCACGAATCGGGATCTTCAGCTTTCTCTGCCAGCGTGTGACTAGCCCGAGAGCCAGTTGTGCTAGCCCCGCGGTTGCCATGCCAACGAAGGATGCTAAATACAGCTCAATCTGGGTGTTTTTTTAAAAAAAAATCACGGCCCTCGGACTGTAGCCAGGGCTGGGAAAGGAGTCCAGGCGTCCTGGCTCCCGCCCTGCCAGGTCGGGGATCCCTGCGAGGCCACATCCTTGGCATCAGCCCCTCTCCCACCAGGATTTTAAGCTCCCCACCCCACTCCCAGCAGGCTGGGCTGCTCTCTCCACACCTCCTCCCCTCCTCCCGGGTCCCCCAGTTTGCCCAGAGCTTGGATTTAAGCCGCTCGCTCTCCGCTTTCCGTTCCTATAGCAACCGCTGCCCACGCGTGGGCTCGCAGTAGCATCGCATCCCGGCTGCCAGAACCCATCCCCGGCTGCAAACGGAGCCGGTGGCCCTCCCGGCGACCCGTGTCAACCCCCCCCAAACACCTTAAGATCTTGGCGAAGGGTTTAGGGCCACGGTGGTGTGATCCAACATCACCCCTTGGGTGGGATCTGGCTGTGGAGGAGCCAAGAGGAGAGCGAAGAAGTCTTCTCGACCGAAAAAAAAGAGCCTACCTAGAGCCCCGCCGTTGGAGAGGGGAGCGCTGCCGTCGGCCTCGGGAGGGCAAACGTGGTGTTTGGGCTTGGTGGTCTCCAGCCCGGCCAGCAGCGTCATGAAGTCGACGACGGTGTCGATGTCTTCCTTGTTGGCGGTGGCTTCCCTCAAGGCGCTCACGGCGTTGAGGCGGCTGAAGGAGGTCAGCTCGGAGATGTTGGCCCGGAGGAAGAGGAGGATGACGTTGAGGTCGTTGACGGGGCAGGTGAGCATCTTGCGGCTGAGGAGGTCAAAGGCGGGCAGCATCTCGTAGACGGAGAGCAGCCCCTTGTCCCACTGGCAGAGCTGCAAGGCGTTGTAGATGACGACGGGCATGAGGAGGACATAGACGCCGCCGACCGAGAGGCTGATGAGCTGGAAGACGGAGAAGAAGACCAACTTGCAAGGGATGAGCGGGGGGATGTGGGGCTCCTCCTGGAGCAGCCCCGTTTTGATGGAGCAGCTGAACTCGTCCTGGAAGAAGATGTTGAGGTGGAGGAAGACCAGGTAGAGGCAGGTGGCAGCCAAGAACAAGAGCAGCAGAAGGTTCCTCAGGATGTAGATGAACACCAGGGAGTGGGCGTGCTGCTTGCAGGTGAGGTAGCGCTCCAGCAAGGGGAACTCAAAATACCTCTCCCGGCGAGCCCTGGGGACAGAGGGGACACAGCAGGGACTCAGAGCCACCCCCCAAACCGAGTCGCTTCACCCAAGTCCATCCTGAACATGGCAACAGCCACGCCATGTGGAGGGGCCTGGGAGAGACGCGGTGACCAGTCGAGGCTGCCCGGCGGCCTCACCTCTCGTATTCCTCCCAGAATCGCTCCGGCTCGGCGCTGGCCTGCTGGACCTTCCTCATGTGCTGCACCAGGCGCACGGAACGGTTGTAGGATTTGTCCAGCTCGTCGATGATGAAGAGGAGGTCGGAGTGGAGGGCAGGGGCGGCCACGTAACGCCACAGCAGGTAGGGCAGGTACATGAGCACCGCCACCACCAGCAGCGAGTAGGGGAAGACCTGGGGAAAGGAGAAAAGCCGGCGGTGAGCGGCGGGGAGTTGCTTCACCTCTGCTGCGCGCCCAGGCTGGACCTGAGGGCACCCAGACGCCAGCTTGTCCCCTACCTTGAGAGCCCAGAGGGACTTGGTGACGGCGTGTCCCTCGGTGTCGAAGCCGTGGTGGAGGAGGGAGTCCCAGCAAGCCGTGTCAACGTAGGCGGACTGCTTCCCCGTGAAGTTGGTGGGAGAGAAGCAGCTGATCTGCGAGCCTAGGGTGAGGAGGAGGGGGAACCTCAGCCACAGAGGTCCGGCGAGCACAGGCGAGCGCCCCACAGCCAGGCGCCGACCCGTTACAGGAAGGTGACGACATCTAAGGTGTCACTTTGAATTAAAAAGGCCCTTTTTCACAGTCATTTTGTAGCTGTCCTTCCCCACCGCCGCTTTTTTCCAGCGAGGACTTTTCCATCGCTTCCCAAACACAACCCCTTTGAGCACAGCTGTGGGTACATGGCTGGGGGACAATTAAGAGACCGGCCAGAAACCGGAGTCAAACCAAATCCCCAAGGGCAGCAGTGGGATTTCGTCAGCCAAGACCAGATTTAGCCTGAGGTTACGACGCACCATCAATGCAACCCTCTGTGCTGCCCTCGCAAAGCCCAGCGGGATGCATCCCCTGAGCCGCGCTGCCGGTGCCCTCCTCCTCCTCGGAAACAACCCCGTGGCACCCAAAGGTGCTGGGGGAAAGCAGCTCAGGCAGGGCATTGATTCACCGACGGCCCTGGGGTATGGCACAGCTGTTCCGGGGCTTTCCCAGCAATCAATAATCCATTAAAAACAATCAATAAATTGTTTGTGGTTCCTAAAAATGGATTTCCGGGCTGCCCCACCACAGACCGCGACCATGAGGGTTTTGCAGCGATAGCTGAACTGCCACCGGCAATCACCCGCGACCCGAAGATCCCCGTTGCAAAAGCCGCAACTCACCGGCGGAGAACTCTCGGGCGAAAGCCAGCGAGACGAGGAAGAGGGGCAGCCCCACGGTGACGAACTTCAGCAGGCGATCGCTCGGCAGCTCCAACCGCAGGCCTTTGGCTCGGGAACCGCCGGGATCTGGGAGGAGAGCATCGGAGAGCATGTACTCGGCGGCCGTGTGCGAGAGGGACATTTTTCTATCGAGGAAGAGGAGACGACGGCGACTGCTGCTGCTGCTGCTGCCTGGAGGCTCTGGTGTCGTCTGAGGTGTGACCAACTCGAGGAGCGACTTTGTAGGGCTGAAGGCATCGCTTGCCAAGCGCTCCGTACCAGGCGGCTGGAAATGACAGCTTAGACGGTGCGTTAAATCGACTGGTAATTACAGGGGGAAGCCTTTTTGCAAATAGCACGCCCCAAAATAGAAAAAGAAAAAAAAAAAACCACCAAAAAAAACCCCAAACAACCAACAAACCAGCAGCTGCAGCACTGGGCTGGGAAGGCAACGTTCCTCCCCAGCCACAGCCGCTCCCCGGCTCCTCGTGGTTTTACGTCCCTCTGTCATAAGCAGATGTATTTCTGGCGGCGCGTTCGAGGGGCGTGGGGCTCCTCGGCTATTTTCGCCTTGTGCGGGGAGGCAGGAGGCTGGGCGTTACCCGACCGAAAAGCCCCAGCCAGGTACACGGTGGCCCCGTGGGGTACAAAGAGCCCTTTCCCGCACTCAAACCAGCCGGAGGGGCTGGAGAAAGTCCTGCTGCCAGCCCCGAGTTTTTGGGGACAGGCTAAAGAGACGCCAACCGCTGGTGGCTGCGATTTTGAAGCAGAACATCAGCTGCGGTTCCCCGGTTTTTCAATCTCTCCCCTCACCTCGCTGCCGGGGCACGGGGGAAGGAACCTGGCTCCAAGGCAAGCTCCCGAGGGAGAGGGATCCCAATAATGGGATGTAGAATAAGCGACAGGGAAATTGGAAGGGGCGGTGGGATGAAGTTTCTCCCGGCAGCGTAGTCGTTCCCCAAAAACCCACGCCGACACTGCTGGCAGCGCAGAGCGGAGGGAGTCCCGGAGCTGCTCGGCCAAGCCGAGCGGAGGAACTCCCCGCGCAGTCTCTCGACACAGCAAAAAAAAAAAAACAACCCCACAGCCGCTGCCAAATTGCACTTTCGATGGATTTTCGGATGATG